GCTATCGGCAAAGTCATTTTTTGAAATATTCTTAAAATACCACCTATCCATCTGTAATCTACTCTGCATTGTATGAAAGGTTTATCTTGACAAATGCTTCCAATCTGATTCAAAATAACATTTGAGTCAGAACAATAATAGCTCAAAAACGCAGATGCATCCAGTCATTTGCGTATCCATGTGTGCTGCTGACAGGTGTGACTTCTGTTTACTGTTGGAACCTCATTTGGAGTTCGTAATTCCATCAAAAACAACAGTTTTGTGGTTTTTAATTTTGTTAAGTTCCAAAGGGGAGGTCTTTGTCCTTATTTCAGACCTCACTCATTAATATGTATAAGCCTTTGAATTTCTGGGAGCACTGCAGAGATGAGACTTGCTTTAATGAGTTTGTCGCATCAGTAAATATTAGGGCTGTTTTACAAAAAGGATAAGTTTTAAAAAAATATTTCCTTCTGCCAAAGTCGGCCCTGATCAGTTAATAGTGAGAGAGCAAGACAAATTCCCAGCTTTACTCGTAAATACATTTTTAAATGTACGTTTGTATGCACCAATCTTTGCTATTGACCTTTATGAATATATTGATATTAACTGACCATGTCTGAACCTTACTTACAGTATAAAAGTGGTGTGTAATCTGCTCTAAATGCTTTTATTAAAACTAATAATTGCAGCTTGGCTTTCTCCCTTCAAGAGAACAGTCAGAGGAACAAATAAGGGACTTGTTCATCACATAACAGGCAGCAGAGGCATAGCGAAGTAGAAGCACAAGGTGCTTTAGCACACAGCAGCTACAGAGTACTGCTCAGCATAGACACTTCCCCTATTCATGGCATCGATCTGACTGACAGAAACAGACATTCTCAAGAAAGAAACAGCCCACCCACATCCAGGTAAATGCAGCAGGAATAATAACAAGAAGCAACCAGATTCCCAATATAATTTTTGATGACAGGTGAATCTCTATGCCAACACAACTCTTTTAAAACCCCCAACCGCACCCCTACCCCCCACCATACACACTCCCTTACACACACTTAACTGGAACAGTGAGAGCTTAGGAGGCAATCAAAGCACAAGCCTAAAGGAAACCTTTATCCAACCATAAGAGTCAGCCATTTTCTTTATTTCTACAGTAAGACAGCTGTTTTTATTTATTTATTTATTTATTTTTGCACATTAAAGGATCTGTGCTAATGTGTTGGCAGCGCTGAGGCACTCCAAAGGAAGAGACTACACTACTTAAAATATAATGAGGAAACAGTCTTGGCAGATGCAATTGATCTGACTGTTTTATAGCACAGGGATTATCAAAGGATTATCTAACCATAATTATACACCCAGGGTTGACACACAGCTTTCATGTTCGCTCACTGAGTGGCAGCTGAGGTAAGAGAACAACAAGGCACTGAATTAAGGTAAGGGTGTTTGAATGTATTTGAGAGTCTGCAAATGTGAGTTTTGCCTACAAGGGGTAAAGGAGCTCCCTCTGAACCCAAACACTAAGTCACATCAAAAACCCCAGACATCCTTATCGGTACCAAACACATGCCGGTAAAGTCAAAGCAAGCGCAGATATCTACTGTGCCGCCAGCAGCAGGACCAACTTTTGGAATCCCCTGAACGGATAATCTGAAAAATCAGGGAGGAGCGTGGCGAAAGCTGGAGACTCCCAGTCATATCTGTTGGGTTTGAGCGCAGCGACATGTAGCATGATCAAGTTTTTTTAAGTTCACTGGCTGACGTGAGACATGTTGCTGTATATGGTATTTTAAAAACGTGTCATTCCTCAGTTAAATTGTAACTAGTTTTCAGTTAGCATTTTACAAACTTATTCTTACAACAATGTATTGTTATTTCTTTAATGCCAGAGCGTTCTAATTGGTAGCCTCCTAAAAAGTCTGGCTATTTTCAGAAGCCAATTAAGCAATTAAAAATGAACAAACACAACAATTTTGATTGAAAATAAAGAGGAAATTTGTCAGCTTTGTTTTTCCTACTGTTATTGTTCTCAGGATTTCATAGTCCTGTCATTTTACCACCTACGCAGTGCATTATTTGGCAATGACTGATGTGTAACAGCGCAGTAGGAACTTTAACAAACACAGTTACAAAGCTTTTGTAAAACTTTGTCAGTATTATAAACAGTAGAACATGCCGTGAATGAAACCACAAGGATGCAGATCCTGGAACGAGTCAGACTTATGCAGCTAACATGCCTCACATGATGTATGTTGGAGCAGTAAATGCAGCCAAATTTATGCGATGAAAATGGATGAAGATAGATTTATTTAAAAGATTCCTCTCAAGAGTTTAGATTTTTGGGTTCAGTGCTTGGAGTTTATAAAACATCTTCCTTAGAACATCCTCAGGCACATGAATGGTAATTTAAATTTTGTAAAGGTTATGGAACTAAGGAAAATGTTACCATTTAATCAACATTTATTTCACTACAGTTCTTGTGTTCTTAATATTCCAGCACATTTTAATGTTGTTTCTATCTAAAAAAAAACTGTCTTATATTTAGTTTGACTAAATGTCCATTCGAGATAACAATACAAGTATTTTTTTTATATATAATATGGGAAGTCTCAACAACATTAATGTAGCAGGGTCACTATCACAAAAAAGGTCTCTTTTGATGTCCTCATTTCAATCGCTTAGTCATAAAAAGGTAGCAGAATAATTACACTTGAGATTTATTATAAATAACTAGTACTTTTTCACATACTGGTTTAATGATAATTCTTTAAGATATATTTTCATAAGTTTATGCTGTTTCCTTTCATTGGCTGTAGGTTATATTGACATGTCCAACCCAGTGCTCTACTAAATGCAGAGCCTGTGATAAGTTTAGATCATTTGAATAATAATAAGCCGATAACTGAAAAGTAAGTATTTACATTTATAGTTCATTTTATTCATTATATTCATCATATAAAGTGTTTAGTTTGATGTCAAGCGTAACTTGTTGATGCTGCCCTACTGAAATATCTATTGAAGTTAATGTATTTTCAGAAATGTATCAGTGTTAAAAAGCATATGCAACTAGTTAACTGAATCATGTTGGTAATTGAGGTCAACCATGTGCTTATATGATGCTAAGATTAGCTGCAAATGTCTAACCTGTTATTACCCAAACTAGTCTGCCATAACAGGGTGGACATGGCTCATATTAGGAAGGGCATGCAGTTAGACCAGTTACTAACAATATTAAAGATAATCTACAGCCTAACCACGGGTGCCAATGATTAAATGATATTAACTTTCACATAAAAAGATGCCTAACCTTTTGTCATTGTGCGACACATAAGAATTTGATATTTTATCCTACTCTAGGTCAATCAAGATTTCATAAATGATACTGAAAACAATAATTAGAACATTTGTATTACTTTATTTAAAATATATAGGTTTACAAACAAAAAGCTTAATATAACTTTAAGTAATTTGGGAAAGCCTAGATGATGGTGTCATGTCTGTAGGTTTTCATGGATTTATTTCAACTATAGGTGCTTTCAGGTAGCACCTTAAACGTACTGCTTCCTTCGTGACAGTATAGAAAACAACACAACCAAAACAGGAGACTGTAAGGAAAATTTGTCCACATAAATAAGTTAAATTCATCTTTGAGTACAATTTCTATATTCCTGAAGTGTCAAAATTCTATATTCCTGAAGTGTCAGGTAACAGTTTAGGTATTCTGAGATTAAGATTACACTGTGTACGTGGGGGCTAAAATAATGCTTTTCCAATTTTTAGTACTTTTTGTCATTTAGTTGACCTCACAAAAAAAAAAAATGAAAAAAAAAAAAATGTAGAGCTACTGAAGCAATTTTGAAAGACATCAGCCAGGAAGGAAACTGGACACAAATTGTTCTCCCAAATGAACATTGATCCTGAGCACACAGACAAATTAACTTCAAAGCTATCTAGGGGGACATAGACAATGTTTTGAAGTAATCATCACAAGGCATTAAACTCAGTCTTTTAGAAAATTTAAAACAAAACTAAAAAAGTAGGAGCAAGACAGGACTCAATTAAAACAACTGAGTCAGGAAGTAATAATGAAAATAACTGTATAATATTAATACAAGCTTGTTGAATAACCCAACTAATACAGGGTACGTTTTACCAATTTCTAAGTAAATGTAGGGAAATGTCTGAAAGAACAAAGTTCAAAAGAGGTCTAAAAACAGTTATCACAAAGTAGGCATTTAGCAAAAATAAATACTTTTACAATCATAGTTGATCTAAAACCAAAAAAAAGTTCAGTGTCAATGCCTAATTTTAATCCAGTATGATGCTTTATAACTTCTGAATTAGTGGCTCTCAATCCTGGTCCTGAATTATCAATGCCCTGTGTGTTTTAGATTTCTCCCTGGTAAAATCTGACTAATATTAAAGAATGGTTAAAAGGCTTCTGCAGCACTTATTGGCTGCTGAGGATGTCATGCAAACATTTGATTCAGGTGTGCTGTAACAAAGAGACATCTAGAACATGCAGGGCAGCGGTACATGCTGAGCATGTTTGAGAACTACTGTTCTAAATGATCGCTGATTTGTTTGACCTTAATTTAATGACAAAAGCACTATATTATACTAAAATATGTCGATCATAAACCAAAACTACTACTCTAAAGGCTACCTATATGATTAAAATGGTGACAGTATAGAGCTCTACTGTGTGTGTATTTTGCACCTATTTAAAAGCCTTTTTTTGCATATTTACTAACTTTCTGAAGACTTAAAGTCTGCTTCTAATGTAGCAAAACATCATTTTAAAGTCTGATGAGATTCAAAAATGTGGTATGAATTACGTTTAGGTTAAGATAGGGGTTAGTGAAATACTGGCAATGGTTAGGGAAAAGAGAATGGAGAGCAGACAATGCAAAGTCTTGATATAGAAAGAAACAAAAACTTTGTGGGTGTGATGGGATATGTTATATGGAAGAGCGAAAGTCTTTAAAGGTGTCACTGACACAAAGGGGTGTGAGGCTCACCTGTTGTGGACGAAATGTTGACATCAATGCTGATCTCAGGGATGCCGCCACCCTTCAGTGCAGCCACACAGGTGTACGTGCCAAAGTCAGTAAACTTCAGGTCTATGATGTCCAGGTTGGTGGTCCCCGGTGAGATGTCAGGGTCTGTCTGAGTAATGACCATGCGCTCTGAACTCCGGAGGGCGCGCCCGTTTTTTAACCAGCTAAATGTCAGCTCCTCTGGGGGCGTCGCTTCAACCTAAAAAAATACATCTTATTGTTACTGGACAAGTAAATTTACTTTTGGTCGGCATTCAATATTTACTTATTAATAAATTCTTTATTCATTTGTACAGACAGACAGATTTTATTTATATGCATGCTGTTATACCTGACAAGATATCTTGACTTCACGTCCAATCTGGATGTTATCATCATTGTGGTAGGGGTCAGGCGTGATCCAGAACCGCCCCTTCTTTAAAGCTGTGAAGGAAACATATTTATGTTTAGAAACTAGACCATTTTTTTTACACATCCTGTGTTGGTCCTAAATAATTAAACACATTTACAGTAGCTTATGGCTCTCCTCGTGATATTGATGCAGTGTTAGAAGTTTACTCACAATAAAGGATGCTATCATTTATAAATAAGCATTTATTCTGTTGCTCATTTTAACCTTTCCAAGTGACCTTACTTGAACATTGAATTACTGTTATCTGTCTCTGGGAATCATTTGGTGAATCCACAAGTTTGAGTGTTTCTTAACATTCTCTGCATATCTATTATTTTGTTAAAAGCTTTAATTACAACCCTGTGCTGGTAAACGGCTCATCATGTTTGCTTGTCTATGAGTTAAATTGGTTTTCAAATTACTTCCCCACATGAACACAGTGACCGATCATTTCTCCTAAAATGATGGTAACCCATCATTTCTCCTAAAATATATTCTAATCTTTACATATATTGTTATAAAAACACTATAAAATACACATTTATTTAAAAAAGGAAGTGTAGAGCCCTTCTCTTTCAGTATACTTAATAACATTAATTTGTATTGACCTATAGTGCTTTCATTCAAAGTGCTGAGCAGCTGCTAAAAGATACAAAAGAAGACAATACAGAGTAAAACAATAATTAAACTGATAGATAACAGAAAAAATGAAACCTTCCTTTATTATAAAGAAGTTCAAGTTATGCATGTTTGCATCGAGCCTCTCTGAAATTTAATCGTTTTTACAAAAATAGCTTGGTATAGAGACAATGTTTCCTGACTGCCTTGCATATAAATGTAGAGAGGTGGTGTGAAATATGTATGTTTACTATAAATGAACACTAATCAGTTTACTTTATCCCATTCCTTTTCAAGCCTTGTTTTTTGTTTTGTTTTTGTTACTCATATTATGACTCCTGAGTTTAAATTGATGAACTGGCATTCATTTGTGTGATCCAATGCATGTAATTGCCTGAAATAAATAATAATAATAAAAAAAAGATATTGTGCAAGACTCAAACTGCATCTTGGCCTCGTCTTTAAACTGGTTCTGAAAAATTCTGAATAGTTACTCTTTAGGAGGAAATAGCAAGCAAAAGCCCAAAACCCTGACTGAAGGGCATCATTATTTATCCTTGTATAACCCTCATTGAATTAACCACTCAACTATCACCAGAACCGGTACACTCATTGAGCTTAACAAAAAACTAATGGACCAGTATAACAAGATAATTAAATCTTTTCAACAAAGACTAACCTTGGGTGTTAAACTAGTCTTACTTTAGAGTTGCATTCAAGCTGCAAAGTAAGTTACATTTCTTTAATTATTTTATAATAACAGCACTCTTGCTCATTCCTGGTCTGCATCTATTATCCCACACCACACTTTCTTATAGTACCTCCCATCAAACCAAGACAATGGTGCATAACGTTTTCAACCTAAGTGTTAAACCAAATGTTATAAGTGCATAAAATCCACAGAGTCCTTTTCTGTCTTTCTTTTAGTATCCAAAGAAGTCCTCCTTTCAACCCCATGGTATTTTACTTTAGATATAAACGTATAAATACATTTGGAGACTAAGTCCAACTTGCTGCTAGAAACGGCAAAAACAGTTGTTAGTGAAATCCCTGAATAATAAATTATTTATAAACAAAACAATTTAAGTGGCTACCGTTTATATAATAACATTTCATATAAATAATTGATTCATAATTATTAACCAGAATTAGACATTTATTCATTAGATTAAACAACTTTTGTTACATGAAACTTAAATTAGATTTCCTTTGTATGAAGAGGCATTTGTCTCAGTGCAGCTATGGAAAAACCTGTTTTCTGCCACGCTTTTGTACTTTTTGAAAAATCTTCTCTATAAAGACAGCGGACAAATTCACCAGACAAATTATTTCCTTCCATTATAAATGTGAATTTATGGAAATTTTGTACCTCATCATTTTCTATATAGTACTGCTAAATAGCAGTGTTTATATGTCTGCAGACCTCCCCTTTGATTGTTAATGTGTAGGCATCGCTCATACAATAGCATGACCTGCACAGTCAAGGCAATATTATAAATGTTTTTTAAGCCAGAACACAATGAGGGATGCAATATATTCAAATATGCACAAACTGTTTTCTGGAATAATTTTCAAAAACACCTGAAATTGTCAGAGCTGTGTACTCAAGTTTACTTCAGTTATTATGGAGGCTGAGAAGAGTTTATTTGGCCAGTATGGCTGTTTGATGTTCTTGCTCATGTTTTGCACATGGTTCACTGTCATCTACTTTATTGTTGCAGCTGTTAATCCCTCTGTGTTTAGGGCCTCTCCTGAAAAAATATTTTTCCATACACATTTTACTTGAATAGTTATAGTCTACCGTAGGTAATTGTAGTGGTATATGTTATAAAATAAAATTATTTTTTGTGTGCAACTGGCTCTAAAAAAAGGGATGTATTTTAACCTATGGAGCTTCTTAAGCATTGATACAAACTATAGGATGCTGCTGTATAGATATAGGTACAAAGAGATAACAGAGGCAGAAAGATAACTAACATAAAATTAAGCATTTCTTGTCCAATGGTTTGCAAATTCCCTTTACAAAACAATATTCCTCCTAAATGTTAGGGCAAAAAAGATTATTTCATTATAATACTGCTGTATCGGTTCCAAAGCTTGCATCTCCTGCTTATAAAAAAAAAAAAAAAGCTGACGGCACCATGGAAATCTTTTCATCTGGCAATTCCCAAGTGACATTATCATATTCAGTTTCGTAAAGGGAAAACAAAAACAGAAACCACTGTGTCAGATTTAAACACAGGAAATTGAATGTGCAAAACACATTGTGATGCCTGCCAAACTGCACACTGAAGGGGAGATGAGTGACACGCGCCTCCTTAACATGATCTTCCTCCTCACTTTTGAAATCAGCAATGGCAGGTAGAGAATCTGTTTTCTAATACATGGCATGGTGATGCCAAAAAAAAAATAAAAAAGAAATTGCACTCATGTCAATACTCCCCAAACCCCTATGCATTTATTTTCCATTCTTGTACCCACATCCGTCTTCAAAGTTTTAGGCCTTACCTTTCAACATGGATGTGTTTGATTTAATAGTGCTGGCATGGTAACACATATGTGTGACCTTTATAGAAACAAAGCAAATGTTATTACTGCCACACAGACATCCATCTCCCATTTGGGTAAAGCTGTACTATAATGTGTACATCCATAACATAGTTTCCGATTTGCCTAAAGATAAGATACATAGCATAAGGTTAATGAGACAAGACAAAGTCCATAGTGGAAGCCATTAAGCAAGTATGTCTGGGAGGAAGCACAAATTTTCTACTACAATGCATGTCAAGGCAAGAAAATATCCTGAGGCAGAGGGGCACACTCGTCGTTCAGTCATCGCTGTACAGCTTGACAGTTTGGAAAGGCGTTTGTATCTCAGTGACAAGCTATGAATGGTTAGTCGCCATGTCATAAGGAAGCATTAGATTCAGGTACACACATGGACTTGAACAACTCTAAAGCTATGCCAAAGCAGCATATTAATAGAATCCATCAGGAGCTCTAGATGGCATAAGTTCTATGTTTGATTTATATAAATAAGGTTATAAGCTGTTCAACAAAACAATCCTTTTGAAAGATACTTTTTCAATAATAATTTTACCTGATATTTACTTTTATCTCATTGCTACTTTTAGTTTGCAGTATGTATGAGATTTTTTTATACATTCATTTTTTTTTTTTTTTTAGGTTTGTAGAAATTAGCAACACATACAACAGGATACTTGTCTACAGTAAAAAACATGGATGAAATCTTTTTGCAACGTCTTTCAATCAGTTTATTTGTAAGCGACATCCACACAAGCTCTGCTAAATTCATTATGAATGACAGAATTTATCAGTTCAGTAATACTCATTGGCTTTCAATTCACACTATGCTGTGTTTTTTCAGGTTTATTGATCCGCAAAAGCACTAGACTCTTAAATTAACAGAAAATTGCACATTGGTGAATGTTAAGAATATAGCTTGGAGTTTTAACAAGCTGACAATTAGAATATAGAAAATGCTGGTTGAAGCATTTTAACCTGGATGTTGGTTTAACTGTTGTGAAGAAGTAATTAAAAAGATGTGTTTGTGTTTGATAATGTAGCCTATATGGGTACCATGGATATTTATGTAGTCTTTGCACCATACCTTACACTCTTATCTTTTAGGCCAAATTGAAAAATAAAAATCAAGGAACGGCTATATGGTGGAGCAGTTGGCTGCAGATGCCCAGCAGCAACAAGGTCTATGGTCCAATTCCAGCCAGCAGGATATTTGCATATCCTAGCAGTGCAAGCTGTAGCTCTCCCCGTATGCTCCAATTTACCCACAATCCCCCAGAAAAACATGACTTTTGGGTTTTGAAGGTGCTCAACTCTGTTTCTTGTACTCATCTAACAATTAAAAATATATGACACACTTGATATCACTATATTATGAAACTAAAACATTAACTCAACAGGTTGAAATATTTATTTATATAAGATTAACTTTCTGTTTTAGAGGTAATTTTCAAGAAAACATTTTAATTAAGTAAAAAAATATCTTTAAATAATTTGCATTTTAACTTCAAGGAGATAAATGTGCTCATAGCAACAATCTTGTTTCCTACATTTTTGAGAATATCCCAGCTATGAATCAAGCATCCTCATTTCCACACAGTCTATTATGCATGATTGCACATATTCATGCATATTTTACAATTTCACCATGTGTTCACCACATTCTAAAAAAATCCTTTCCTGCCATTTTAGTTAAGTATAAATAATGAATAAAAAGTAGGCCTTCTTGTAAATCGACTACACTTGTGTGCAACAGAGATACACAGATATCACTTCACCTGGTCGTACACAATAGTTCACAACCTGATGCCTAGAAAATTCTCAAAATGGTATTTTAGTTTAATAGTATTTTAGTAAAATAACAAATAAA